GAAGAGCGGGGAAAAGGGGAAGAGGTAAGATGTGGTATATAACATGGAGACATACAGTGTTCTAATTTCTTCTTTCCAAAGCTGGTCTTCTAAATCCCAGAGAAAGTTCTCTGGGATAAAAAGGAGACTACGGGAAACAATGCAAAGTGAGCGGTGAAAGTGACTGCTGCTTTGGGAAGACATCTCTCATCATTGGCTTTGTGATTAATAAATGTCTTGCATTTGAGAACAAATCTAACCTTGACTTCATCATCCTAGTCACTTAGCAGGCAGATGGTTACCTTCTAGTGTTAAAAGGAAAACGTGCCAACGTGCCTTTTAAAAAAAAAAACATTAAAAGCCACCCTCCATGCCAAAAACAGGGTTAGGTGACAAAAAGTGATTTGTAAACTTCCTAGTCTGTAGCAGCATTAGATGATTTGACTCATCACCTGATCTAATCTTACAGCATCTGATGGTTGAGTATCCTGCTCCCTACTGGAAAGTTAGCAATGACTTTTCACAAGTGGGTAACATAGGCAAGGTCCTTCATATTGAAGATAGTGAATTAGCTGCACTTTCCGAATGCTGATTTCTTTAAAAGAGCAGGGGTGCTGCTAGTTTTTTCTAGACTGAATATAGGCTTGCACATAAATAGAAAACTGCTGTTTTATTGTACCTCATTTTTTGAAGTTTTTTTTTAGACTTCAGTAAACTAATATATATTTTGTATCTGTATGCTTATAATTTAGCTTTCTGAGCTGTCAAACTGTAAAGGTGATCTGTGTTTCATGCAAGAATTGTGTGAGAAATTGTCCAATACATACTCAGCAGGTGTGAATACTGGCACACCTTTTAGCTGTACAGAAATGGTGTTAACATCAAAATATAAATCACATTTTTGCCCATGCTAAGACATATAATATCCTGAGTGAAGCTACTTGCAATGTAGCGAGACAAAGGTGAAATAAGCCTCTTCTATTAATTGCACTTTTTCCCTGTGTAACCCTTGCTGTTACGTGTTAACTAGCCATTTTAAGAATAAATTGTATTTTGATACACCTGGTTCTTACTGTGTCAGCTCAATCTATTTTCTCAACTTTTTTAAACAACTTCAGTTGTGATACAAAGTACAACCAGTTTGTTCTGTGCCATGGGATGTTGCTAAATCTGGCTATGGTATGATATCTCAGGTCAGCAGCTGGCATTACCCTGAGAATCAAATCCAAGCTCTTCACCAAATGAGAGATCCAAAATTATTCGCCTTATGAGTTGTCTCATTTTTTTAAAAAAAAAAAAAACCCTGTATCTCACCAAATCTAACTGGAATATTTTGGTTTGACAGATTGTGTCATGGATCTTGCTATGCCATGGGTGAGTCTGTCTGGCAGGAGTCTGTCTTAATCCGATGGCCAGACTTACTTGCTGAGCTGTAGCATATGTGATGCTTGCATGAGTGCATCTAGGCAGCAACACTTAATGTCTTCCGGCTCGCTTTCACCTTGTACTTTGCTCATTATGCTGCCTCCTGCAGCCATACTGCTGTTTGGGGCACTGGGCAGTTGGGGTTTCTCCTCTTATACCCGGGAACCCAGCCGAAATGCCATCAGTACCAAAAAACTTCTGGCAAAATCAAGCGTCTGTCTTTGAGCCAGCCATTCACCTTTGACGCTGTGGCACGGACCTACCCTTGCAGGTACTTAGAATGGAGAAAACGGTGCGTTGTTTCCCAAGAGCCCTAGTCCCTTGGGGGCAGAGGGTTTTGACACACCCCTGCTTCTCCCAGGTGCCAATTTAGACAAGCACGGAGTAAGAGCAGGCTAGCCAGCACCAGTTGCACACCAGATACTTTATATGGGATTTCTTAACACATTAACTCAGTGACAAGAAGCGGTTTAGTTCAATCTGTTGCACACAAAGTCAAGGGCTTCCCAGCAAGAAATCTGATTTTAATTATGAAAAAGCAATTCCCAAAAGGCAGAAGACCACATAGCCCTAACAGCGTGTTTCTGACCTGGGGAATGAATTTAGAACTTCCCCGTTGCAAAGCTTACACTGGACTCAGAGCCTTCCTTTCCCTAATGCCATCTACCAATCTCAAGTACTATACTGTATTACTGCGCAGGAGCTCTTGTGATATATACTGCTCCCTGCTCTAGAAAAAAAGTGAACTGAAGAGAGATTTGTAACTTAAGTGGTTTGAAGGCTGCTCTGCCTCAATGTGGGACTTTGCTTCGGCAAACCAGTTATGCAAGGCTGCTGGCTAGAGCAGAAGACTTCTAGCATGAGGAAAAGTAGCATTTTCTTATCCTCCAGCCAAGTTTTGTGACCAGCCATCACAACTGAAAATGCTTACTTGTCCTCTTGACCAAGACATAAATCACTTAAAAAATACCAGAAGAGAGGTTCCTTTGACCAAGCTTTGGTTTTAAACCAGCTTCTTTGCAAAGATGCCTTGGAAGATCTTACTTGCCCAGCAGAAAGACAACGCGGTACTGCAGTCGCTCAGCAGCTCCAAAGCCCTCCCTCAGTCGACAGAGCAAAGGATTTCTCCTTTCTCCACTCCCTACCAAAGCAATGCAGTTTCACTCCCTTTAAAACAGGGAGCTTTCTGTGTTTAACACTAAAGCTTGCATAAATCAAAAAGGTAACAGGCTCCTAGAGGAAGGTATTACCAACACTAAGATACAGTAACTTTAAAAAAAAAAAAAAAGAAGCCTTACAAATGTATTTATCAGACACCGAGAAAAACAGTGTCACCCTTGGAAAATGGTCTTAGGCCAGGGGATTCAAACATGCATCTTAGATGCTGCTTTCAGACACATCCTATTCAAAAACTGAAGGTATAAAGCAGATGCAGTCCTCAAAACAGAGCTTGCAAACCTACAGCATCATCTCGTTCCCTTAGGAAGTCACTTTTCCAGCTGCATTGTAGATTTGCATTTCCACCACTGAGGTGACTGGATTTGCTCCTATAGCTCTGTAGGTCTAAGGTCTTAAAACTTTCAGTTATAGCCTATAGGTGGGACAGTACTTACAGACTTTATTCTTTGAACATAAGTGTTTCAAGTTGGGTTCCTAATAACTGTACTCACTTTTGTGAAGCTAGGCCTGGTCTTACCATGCAAAATTAAATTGAAATTGGTGGTATTTCATATTAACAAAGATCTGTCACCTTGGAAGATCAGCATCTGAACATTTCCTGAGAACATAATTAGAATTTTCACAGGCAGTTAGTGAATGTCTTTTTCTGTAATTACATATATCTCTCTAAACAAATTACCACAATTTATATGGCAAATCTAGTAAATTAATGGTAATATGGTAGATATTACAGTATTTACATATATGTAAAGCAACAAGTCCCATCCTTCACAGACACTTCTGAGCTTTAAAATGAAGTGTAATCAAGAATAAAATGTTTCAGTGAGGCCAAAATAGAAGAAAGTAAGGCTGTGCTAAATCCTCTCTCAAGAGGCCTCTCCTCCTGTTTCAATAATCACCTGTACTACAGCTGTTCCTGACTGGCATTTGCTTAGCCTGTTCTTACAGCACTCCAGTGATGGAGGCTCCACAAGCTTTCCAATTACTCTTTCCTCTTCTTACCTTAAAAGAGGCCCTTGAGGTCTTAGCCTAATTAAAATTAAGCTCCTGATTACTTGTTTTATTCTGCATAGACAAGAAGAGGAAACTATTACTTTCTTTTTGCAATAGCCTGTAAGTGCTTGAGAGCAAAGAACAGCTTTCCCTCCTCTCCCCACGTACCTTCTCTAGGCTACGTAATACTTCATTTCATGAAAAATGGATATTTCACCTTTTCATCCTTGTTTGAAAAGGAACCTGTTAGACCTTTGGATTTTCCTTAAGGTAGAAATACCACTCTCTGCTAGCTCTGGTATAAGCCTTGTGGTGTGGTCCTGAACTTCACCAGTGAAAATTTAACACAGCTCAGTACCCATCTTTCATTGCTCGACTGACTTCATCCGCCTCATACAATAAGGCCTTGAGAATGTACGTATCATTTCTGTAGTGCTCGACAGACTGTCTGTGAAGCTTATGACAGCTGGACATATTGAATCAGTGATGCATTTCACTGATGATTTATTCTAAGGATTGCGTTTCCTCCATTACAAACATTCACCTTTATCCTGCTCCTCCTCCCTATATTGCAAACTGCTTTAACACTCCAGCCTTTGTTCATCTCCTTTCTAGATGAATTGTTAAGTTGGTCGCCTTTCCTTTCTTCCATGTGAAGAACAGCGTTTTCTGCTGCAGTGACAAAATTAATGCAAGCTTGATAGGACCCACGGAGAAAAGGCAGACTGACTTGTTTTTGCAGTGCTCACCACAGATGGCCCAGTGGTGATCTCAGCAAGTACATCTTTCAAACAGTAAGGTAGAAGATACCAGGGTTAATTCTGAGGAGGCAAAGCATGAACGCAGCACTGTGGGTCTGCTCA